GCGGGTTCGCATAAAAAACCAGGAAAATGGACACTGGGACAAAGGAACAGTCCTAAAGAAGAGACCTGAACCAAAGTCCTATGAGGTGCAAACACCAAGTGGCCAAACTCTATGACGCACCCGTAGACACATTCGGAAAACAGGAGAAAAACCTGAAATCCATCATGACATAGAACAAGTCATTTAACAGAATGATCAAGACAACATGCCAACAGATGGAAGCACACACAGATCACAAAACAGCGCTAAACAAACTCAGAACACATATGTCACTAGATCAGGTCGACATGTTCGCAGACCTGTACATTTTGATCCTTAAACATCGTTATTTTGTCATTATAGACACTATGATAGAGTTAGAAATTGTTTAATGAATTTAAAGTTGTTGATGTTGAACAAGTTCAAAAATATTGTTATATTTTAAAATGCATGTACATATATAGCTTCAGATGAACGAAAAACAGGGAATTAATAATCGTTCAAATATAAAAGTTTTAAATCCCTTAATGGAATCTTGAAACGCTTTGAAAAAAAGGAGAAAATACCATACAAAATGAATACACCCTAAAAGATACCTAAAGAGGTATTACTGATATGAAAATAGTGATCGAGAAAGTTATTGAGCTCTAATTGCTCCAAAGACATTTTCAAACAATTCTTCAAAAGTGAGATTTATGATTCACATTCGAAATCAGACTTTTGTAAATATAAACGGAATAAGAAACAGAATAAGTCTGTAAATTACCATTCATTTGTTTGTTAAAAGAAGGGGGATGTAATGAGATGAGTTATATGCTATAACTACATTCATATGCGCGCATGCATATCTCTTGTGTAAAAGAAACGCGGTTGAAATAGGTTGCACAATAAAGGACACGCCAAGGTCATGAACATTATATCTATTGTCTCCAGTTTTATCTTTATTTGACTTCTTTGTGTAGGAACACAAAACAGCAGATGTGAGGAAGAGAAATAATGTCTGCATCTGAGCTTTGATAGGAAGATCGTAGAACAATTCAAAATCACTCTAGATCTAGGCCTATATATGCGCGTCTATGCAGTAGCAAGGATCCTGGTAATGGTATGCCGTAACCAATCAGGAGGAGAAGCGTCAGGCAGCATTTATTTTCTATTCTACGGCTCTTCTTCTTCTTCTTCTTCTGATTAAGTCTGCCTCCTTCAATTGACTGAAGATTCTTGCAAACTATGTGCGTTTGTGTGTGAACCGCAATTTACGTCCATTCGAGTGCTATTTACATTATAATACAGGTTATTTACAAATATTTACAAGCTCATGTATAAGATGGAGGAAGACTAGCCACTTGCTGTCACCAACCGTCTGCAGTCGACTACGGAAGGCTCCAACAGATGGCGCTACACAAATTTCTGAGGGCAGGGAATTCCAACTCCTTACTATCCTCGGAAAGAATGAATGCCGATGCGATTCAGTTCTTGAGTTTGGCATCTGATAGGAATGTGGTGGGGTGGCTCTCGTCAACTGGGTGACTTGTATGATATAGTCCTGAGCCGGAAGAAGAGCGAGATCGTTGTGTATATTATACATCATAGTTAGTCTGTCATTTTCTCTGCGCTATTGTAGACTGGTCCAATCAAGTTCTTTCAGCATACTGCTGACACTTGATGTATTATGTATAAACGATTCAGAGTGAATCTTGCAGCTCTTCTTTGCACCATTTCAACTTTTTAAATGAGGTTTGGGTAAGCTGGGTCCCAGACAGAGGAAGCATACTCTACGATCGGTCAAACCAACAGTTTGTATGCAGTGGGTTTGAGGTCAGAAGATTTAATGCGTAGATTGCGTCTTAGAAAGGCGAGGACGTTATTGGCTTTGTTGACAGTATATTGATATGTTTGGTCCACTTGAGATTAGAAGTGATGGTAACACCCAAGTACTTCGCAGAGTCAACGGTTTCAAGGGGGGGGGGGGTGTTCTTCAGATGATACACATGTGTGTTGTGCCTTGCTTCTTTTCCTGGAGACTGTGAGTACCTTGCATTTGTCCGTGTTCAAAACGATCATCCATTTTTCAGCCCGGTCTCTAATCCTGTTGAGGTCTTGTTGAAGATTGTGTGCATAATGTTGGTTGTCGATGGTCATGTAGGAAATAGCATCATCGGCAAATAGGCGAACTTTGGATGCTAGACCATTTGGCAAGTCATTTATGTAGAATAGAAAGAGACAAGGTCCAAGAACCGACCCTTGAGGCACTCCAGATTCCACTGCTATTGATGATGAGTTCTTGCCATCCAAAAGGACTCTTTGACTTCTTCCATGGAGAAAGCTTTGGATCCATCCAAGATTCTTCCCTCTGACACCATAGAACTGCAATTTGTGCAAGAGCCGTTGATGCCCAACCTTGTTGAATGCTTTCGAAAAATCCATGATTATGGCATCCGTTTGACGTCCTTCGTCCAAGTTCTTGTGCAGATCACTTGTGAATCCTAATAACTGTTGTTCATATGACATGTTCTTGCAAAAGCCATATTGAAGGGGGAAGATGATGCTATTTCTGTCCCCATGCTTTTGCTGGCTAGAACATGTTCCATTAGTTTGCAGCAAATGCATGTTAGTGAGATGGGACGATAGTTTATTGGAGTTGATCTATTACGTTTCTTGTAGATTGGTATATCATTCGCCTCACGCCAGTCCTCTGGTATTACACTCGTTTCATAGGACAAGCGGAATATATCACAAAGAATAGGAGCCAGAGTTGTTGCCAATTGCTTCAAGACTTGTTTAGTTATACCGTCCGGTCCAGTAGCTTTGTGTATCTACAGGCCAAAGAGCAAATTTTCTACACCCTTTGGTGTGAGCACAATATCCTCTCTTCCTTGAAATGATGAGGTCGCGGTAGTTGTCTGGGATGGGTGTTTCCTTGGTGAATGCACTTTGGAACCGTTGGTTCAGTGCTTCAGCTATTGCTATCGTATCAGTGACTGTAGTACCATTAGTTTTCAGTTCTGCTATTCCTGTGTTGTCAGACCTGTTATGTTTGATGAACCTCCAAAATCTCTTCATAATGTCATGTTTTGTGTTATCTTCATCGGTAGAAAAAAGGGATTCCACATAATTCCAATACACCCTCCTTTAGCTCTTGTTGTAGTGTTTTCTTGATTGTTCTTACTTCTTCCTCCAAAAGATAGGGGATGAGTCCATGATTTCTTGATTGTAGGTCTCGACATTTTTTGTTCAACCTGTCTATCCTTTGGATGATCCTTCTTTTCTTGTTCGTAATCCATGGTCATCCTTCTTAGATGTCAGTTTTTGTGGTACAATCCCTTCTCTATTCCACTCTTAAAGATAATCCATGCTTCATTCACGAAGCATAAGTCAAGCTTGTCTGCAATTTCCTCTCCGACACCTTCCATAAAGTCAGCAAACTTTTTCCAGTCAGCTTTGCTGTAGATGTTGATTCTCGCTTGCTAATTCTGCCGAGTCGGACATCTAGCAATTGTGAGCAGCGGGCAGTCATGATCTGAAATGCCGGGTTTAACTGATACATCAGTGATCAACGTTGGGTTACTAACTAGGAACAGACCGAGTACATTTTATCCTCTTGTTGTCTCTGTGACTACTTGTGTTAGACCATGATCATCCACTATTGAATCAAAGGCATGATGAAGTGCAGAGTAGTGGCATGCCTTCACTTGTCGGGTATTCCAATTCCATCCAGGCAGATTGAAATCACCACCTATCACTGCTGTGTGATCATGATTTAATCTACTCAAAGATTGCTGGAGTTCTGTGAGGCTTTCTTCGTCATTTTCATGGGGCCTATAGTAAGCAGCTACATGAAGTGTCTTAGACCACGCCATGTTCAATTTACACCAAATAATTTCACAGTTAGTTTCAAGTTCTATCTCTCTTGTTGCAAGAAGTTCCTTCTTATAGATATGAACACCCCACTATGGGGGTCATTTGGTCGATCCCTCCTCTCAATGTGATCAGTTGGGAAGACCTCGATGATGTTGATTGCATGACGATAACCAAGATTCTGTTCCAATGACGACGTCCTGATCATGGATTTACATCCGAAGATGAAAAGATTGCTTTTTGGCCCTTGACAACCCACATTAAGAATATGGAAACTTATCTTCTTAGGTTTTACAACTTGTCTTCTTGGTGAGGACGTATGAATTGGTGAACCTATCACTCTCTGTGAAGGAGGGGTCATTTCCCAGAAGGAAAAACCAGTTACCACCAGTTGAAATTTCCAACTGGTTCCAGTTAACTTCAACTGGAAACAGTTAGATTCAACTGGAACCAGTTAAATTCAACCGGTTCCAGTTGATTCTAACTGGTCCATGATGCGCATCAAGCGGATATTTGGTGCGACTGCATTTCATTTAACTGGAACCAGTCCTTAATGACCAGTTACACCAGTTGATAACTGATCTGTTTGCAAACTTCCAGTTGCACCAGTTAATAACTGGTCTGTGAATGGCATATTTCCAGTTGCGCCTGTGATATCTGGCCGTCTGTTGGCATATTTCCAGTTGCACCAGTTGATAACTGGTCTGTGGGCATATTTCCAGTTGCAACAGTTGATAACTGGTCCGTGGGCATATTTCCAGTTGGCCAGTTGATAACTGGTCTGTGAATTCCAACTGGACCAGTTAGAATTTGACCAGTTGAATTCCTACTGGACCAGTTAGAATTTGAGCAGTTGAATTTCAACTGGACCAGTTAGAATTTGACCAGTTAAATTTGACCAGTTTAATTCCAACTGGACCAGTAAGAATTCAACTGGTCAAATTCTAACTGATCCGTTGGCCAATTTCCAGTTGACACCAGCTAATTTGCATAATATGATCATAATATCTCTCTTGAGATGGACGTGTTTTTCGCGAGCTCCTGAAAAATGCACTTTTCTGCAGCCAAATAATGGACTCAAGGAAACTTTTTATACCAAACTGACGACGAAAGGACAGTGGTGAGATTTGTGTAATTCATTTTTCACAAATTTGTAGACTTTTAAAGATTTTGGCCATTTTATACTGTTATTTTGGTCAATTTTTTAAATATTTATTTTCTTGATTTTTGAACATTAAGCGCAATATAAACACTTTACGCAGAATTCATCTTGGATACAGCGCAAGTGAGCGCAAAGATACAACGCAAGTGTGCGCTAGTGAGTTATCTCCAAAGACGTTTAAATATAATTACTAGACGGAAAGCAGCACGCGCGGAAACCATGCAGATGAATGGGATTAGGCTCCGCCTCTTTTGGATCATTTGAAGACAAAATAAGCCACCGAGGCGGCTCTTTGATTGGATATGAGCCTCATGAATATGTATTTTATCGATAGTATCGTTTAAGAAACCGGATAATATATTTGACCTCATTGCGTCACTTTAATTATGCAGATTTATGCACGACGCAGGCTACTCGCACAAACTGAGAAGATTTAGTTCATTGAGAATGGGTGAGTAATTGATTGAAATATGAGTAGATTAAGTGAATTTAGTCATCAATTTTGAAAAAGCTGCAATAGTCTTTGTGATCTATGGTAATTTCGTTACATTGTGAGACCGTTCTCAACAGATTTTTGGGGAAAAGACTAGGAAATTATTGCTCTTGAAATTGAACTTTGATTTTCATCGTCATGAAATAGTTTGACTGCGGTTTGCCGTCATTTCACCCTAGTACTCCAGTTAGGGGCCCGGCCGTTCCGGCAGGCCCACCCCGGGGAATTTCGGTGCTCATCTGCATCAAGATAAAACTTTCTAATCAAGTTTTATTTCAGATTTGATCGTCATCATGAATCTAATTCATCAATCATCGATTTAATTTAAATCGAGATTTAACGTTACACCTTACAATAATCTCTGAAGCATGATCTTTTTTGATAATCCAAGTGGATTAATTCTTGTTAAAATCTTTAGTAGATGTTGACTCTGATGGCTTTACTTATCAGTGCCATCCGTTCGCTCAGTTGCATCCGTGTCAAATTTATTAAGACCAAAATTATCTGTGACCATTGATAATCAAACCACTCCAAATCCTATTTCATTTAGATGTAAACCTGGAACTTATTAATACAAAGTATTAAAAAAACATCAACACTAGGATTTGTTTATTTAATAATTAGATTTTGTGTGGGTCCAGCATGCTTGTCAAGTTATCATTTAGAGTCTAAACCTTGACCTTACTACTAGATCTAGATCTAGACCCCTATCAGTGGCGTACGCAGGATTTTTTCAAGGGGGAGGGGGGGGGGGTTAACATTTTGAAATCGGACCAAAAATTTCGCAACGACTCAGCCAGCCACTGAATAAGCATGGGGGGGGGGGTTTAGGTCATCCATTTGGATTTTTTTTTGTATTAAAAAAAAAAAAAAAAAAAAAAAAAAAAACACTAAAAAAAGGGGAGGGGGGGGGGGTTCCAGAAAAACATACAGGGCTTGAATTAATCCAAGGCCACCAAGGCCATGGCCGTGGATGCCCCTTTGATTGGCCTCAATGCCCCTCTCACTGGCCTTGGACTCTTTGGTGATTTTATGTGCCCTTTCCAATTCTTCCTATTTGTTCTGTAATATAGGAATGTGCCCTACAGAAAAGTGGCCTTGCCATAAAAATATTGAAATTTAAGGCCTGAACATACACATAAAAAAACTGAAGGTAGGGGGTTTACCCCAACCCTCCCCCCCCCCCCCCCCCCCTGCGTACGCTTCTGACTCCTGTTATTACTTTTAATATAATTATTAGAGATTTTTTTCTTCTCTGAATTGTGCAGTTCATGTTGATAAATCTATTTGTTTGTGTAAGAGAAGACCCCTTGTCCACAATTATGTTTACTTATGAAGTCCACTTCTTCTTGTCTTAATAAACCAATTCTACTTAAGACTACTTTATATCTAGGCCATATAAAGCACTTTTTGAGGCACAAGTTAAATCTTCCATTCGATTTTACTTTGTACTGTGGTCCATTAAATTGGAATGTTGATTTCCACACTATATTAAAATTTAGGCCAACCATGACATGAAAAAAAGCTTTTATGCTAGATCTATTTTTATTTTGTTAAGGAGAAAGGGACGCCTTGATTGTCGTATTGATTTTGTTTTCTTTTTGTTCCAACAGATGGAAACTGATGAAGAGCTGGAAGGAGTTAACTGATGAGTAGACATTACAACATTTCTTATATTTTCAAGATGAAGCTGAAAGTCCCATGCAGGTAAAATTTTCAGGATATTTAGCACACAAATATTAAACGACCACCTATTAATTCACTAAAAAGGAAATGGAACTAAGTGTATGTTTCAAGTGTGTATAGTGGAGGGAATATTTTATTCTAGTTCTTCCCTTTCTTTGTTTACAAAGGGATTTGTCCTTATTTACAGGAGGTCCTGTGTGTAGAAGAACGATGTCTAATGCACATTCAAAGCACTACATAATAATGATAATGATCATACATGAAGGGTATACACAGGACCCCTCATTACTTTTTTTTTGTAAGTGGTCCTTTCACTTCTTGAGCAATGAAGATGAAGAAGAACACAACATAACGAAAGTCTGTTTATACGATGAATTATGGTTGATATTATTATCACTTTTTAATTGAAGTACCTACATTGCTTTCTCTTATGTAGGATGATGCTTCTCTACAGTGGATGATGAAAGCATGCTGATTACAAACCCAGGAGAGGAATAAAGAACAGATATTGACAGAATCATATCTAGAGATGTGGGCCTATTGCACTTCATACAAGCAAGTGTGCTAATATACCATGTAGGTACCCCCAATAAACTATTGTAGAACACATTTATCATGCAGAAAGTTATAGATCTGACAATTATATTTTTCATTGTCCATTGACTTGTAAAAGAATACTTGACTGAATATCACAATTGTGATTTAGATTAAAACTAAAATGTCAATATACATGAAATATAAGTCTACATAACGAATGTTTCAATAGCATTATTTCCTGTACATTCTCTGTTCCAAGTTGTTTGGTCATTTTATGTAAACCGAGTATTATTCATTTATGACCACGAGTTTACATTACAAGTACATTGTACATGTACCAGTATTACTTATTTCATACTTGTCTGATCCAAGCTCCATCAGGCCTATTGTCTTAATGGGATCATCAGAAATAATCTAACATGTGGTCAGTAACTAGTCTTGTAGGAAAAAAAGTTTAGTTTTTCCCACTAGAACCCCAAGTGAATATTAGTCCTTCCTCTTTTTGTCAGAGCAGGTATCAGGGTGTATGTTATTAGTTGTTGTTTATTTTCTTATACACTGTATCTTATTTCATTTTTCCATTCAACAGACTTGGGTCATCATCACAGCCCTTTCTTCTGAAAACTAGCCTACAACTTCATCGATGAATGCAGAAGACATCTACATGGGACTACGTCTTAAAGATGCCCCCTCATATAATGAAAGAGGACAGTAGAAATGGGTTTAATCTTGAATATTTACATACTATTTATTTATTATTTGTATTATATGTTTGTAGAATACCACATTTAAAAAATAATGAATTTATCATCTTGTCAACTTTCAAATAATTAAAGATAACTAATCATCAATGAATAAACATTAATGACATTTTAACAATGTCAACTACCATCTTATAGGATGAAACTGAGTGTTGGGCAGAAAGAAATTTCCTTGAAATTTGAGAGATAAAGATCTATCAGTCTATATCAAAGATTGAATCAATCAATGATATATTAATTATAATTATACATGTTGAAATTCATTTACCTCAGTCTATGGACTTCTGTAGTTGAAGTTTTGTAGATTATTACATTATTGCTGCTTCAAGTATTGTATGTAAGAAGGTTTAAAAGACAACCCTCTAAATGCACTAAATATGGAAACTGCTAATCATCATTGCCTGTTGTATCCAAACTGCTAATTTTAATAGAATCATGTTTTGATACTTCCTAGCTTAAGAAAACAGGGGGGGGGGGGCTTGTTATCCTCTTCCTGTTGCTGTTTCTAAATGGACCATGTAACAGGTTGCAGAAGTGTAAACAATATTATATTTGTTATATGTTTATATTAGAAGGATTTAGAAAATGAAAACATTTTGAATTATAGAATTACTGTTGCTAGAAGTAATGGCAGTATTGATGTGTAAGGGAAGGGGGTGGTTTTCCCAGTGAAATTAACGGTATACCAATGTCAAATTGATAAAAAAGAGAAAACTATTCCTAAAAATAAAATTATAAAGGACATGGGCCTCCCAACTAACTAACCCTGGTACCACTTCTGGGTTGTTGTTTTTTTGTTTTTTTGTTTTTGGAGGGGGGGGGGGCGCCCCAAATCAAAATTTCCAGTGTTAAATTCCATTGTCTTTAAACAAAAAATATGTCAAGATGTTGAAAAAAAATGTTTCACTTTCCGTTTTCAATTCGAATAAAATGATTAACATATATTTTCCGATCTCTCTGGTCTCTACATTAAAAATGTTCAAAGCTCCTGCAAAGGCTGCAAAAAGTAAAAAGTGAAGATAATCCAAGTGAAATGTTGACAGCAATGGAGTGAATATGGATCAATGGTTGATCGTAGTTGATAACGAGTAAATGTAAATGAATGGTATTACGACTGAAAGTGAGACAGAAAGGAACTGCAACAGGTTGTTCAGTCAAGACAACAAACTGTTAGTTGCAGAAGATAATTTATGAAAGACAGAGAAAGAGAGAGAAAGGGAATCATTAAGGTACGATGAGAGTGGGTGGAGAAAAACCATCCACTGTGCCACATAATTTGTTTGTATAAAATAAGGACACTTTATATATTAGCATATTTAAAATGAATAATTATAGCCAGAGAATGTGTTGATATATGGCTTATAGCATGTTTAAGTTAATTAAACAAAAACAGACCCAGTTATTGACAGACTAAAAAGGGAATAAGATCGGATCAGTATTTCTTATTCAATGAAGTTAAGGCCACTCCCCCATATTAAAAAACAACAACAACACAACAACGAGAGGTCCACTTCCCGATGCATTCTGGGTACACCAGCTGTTATACTGGTGATCGATGATACAAGTTCGAGCGCGTATTTCACCTAACGGTGATCGCATCAGAACAATCTACGCTGATTCGCTGAATCACTTGCGTTGCTAGCGCGCAGCGTGATGAATAAATTACCCATAATTCCGTACAGTAGATTATTTGACCTCTCTTATTACGCTGATACGCGCATTGTCTTTTACCATGTAGTGAACATCATTCCAGTACACTTTTCGCGGGGAGCATCCTACAGAATGCATAATTCATAAGGCTCATGAATTATGCAAGGTAGCTTATTTTGGCTTCTAATGGATCCGGACAAAATGGCGGAGCTTGGGGGGCCTGGTTATCTCAGTATATTACGCACTGATGTTAACGCAGTACTTTTCAGCAAACAGGTGAACAATTATTTTAAATGACGTCACAATGACCATCGTTAACGTAAGAAGTCTCCGTGTGAAGGAACTCAAAGCTGAACTGCAGAAACGTGGTCTAAATAAAAATGGTGTAAAAGAAACTTTGGTTAATAGGCTGCAAAGTGCAATCAATGACCATATCCATCAAGCGAGTAATGACAAAAGAAATCAGGAGACGAATACTGAGCAAGCTGATCTCTATGACCTATTCAATCTAGTTTTGTCGTCAGTTAATGAACTAGCCGACAGGCTTATCAATCTTGAAGCTAAGTTCGATAGTGCTGATCTGGTAAAGGAGAAAACAGATCTCAATGAGATAGTGGGAACTATCTCAAGAGTTGTTTATACCGTCCCGACGAAGAATAGGTTCGATGTCCTTGCGGATAATCATGTCACTGACGCTGAGCCTGCTACTTCGATGAAAGAGTACCGAGATAGGCATCGCCAGCGCCGCTTATCTGAGCTACATGAATCTGTCCTTGAAGGCACAGACGTCGAGCCTCCTACTCCGATGTCGACGAGCGACCAGATGAAACAGTACCGAGATGGGCATCGCCAGCGCCGCCTGTTGGAGGTACCTGCTGCTGTTTTCGAAGGCACTGACGCAAAGCCTTCGACTTCGATGTCGACGAGCGACCAAACCAATGAGTTCCGACAAGGGCATCGCCAACGCCGCTTGTCTGAGCTACCAGATGTTGTCATCGAAGGCGACTCGATGATCAAGCACATCGAGGGCCGACTCCTGAGCCGAAAACATAGAGTAGTCTGCCATCCGAACCCAGGGGCAACGGTGGCTGATATCTCCTCTAAGAAGGCTACTGAGGGTGTAAAGGCGAAAGGAGACGTCATTCTACATGTCGGGTCAAATGACTTGTCGAAAGGTAATGGTAGTACATCAACCGCCAATGACATCATAGCATTAGCAGACGTGATTGCAGCGAAAGGCTGTGATGTATGCTTGTCTGGTGTTATACACCGCAGATGGGAATCGGTTCACCAGAGGCGCAGTGTCGATGGGGTTAATGGGCGATTGAGAAGAGCTGCCCGTGAAAGGAGATGGGGTTTCGTTGACAACGACAACATAGGTGACAGGCACCTTGGCAGAGATGGGGTCCACATCAATAAGGCAGGACAAGCTGTTCTTGCCTCTAATCTACGCCACTTTATTGAGCGACCTCGAGGGCCACCTACACCTACTCAGCAAACGTCCTACGCTTAAGTTGTTGGATCTTCAACGCAGGATTTCGAGATGATTGCTCCGAGAGGGAGGCTAAAGTCTGCACCTGCTCTTCCAATGTTTCCACTGACAAAAGCTCAACAGGGGTGGAACGAGCATCTACGTCTCGTCATGGCAACATGCAGTTAAACTCTGTCTCTGGTACTGGCATACTACATCATAATCTTCAGGATCAATCTCATGAACTGAATAAGAGTAACATTAAACAGTTGGAAGGTGGATCAGTTCCTCCGTTTAGAAACAGGGGCTTAAAATTTGCCCATTTGAATATTCATAGCTTAGTTGCTAAGATTGACGAACTTAGATTACTTCTGAGAAATGCATCATTTGATGTTATTGGTTTAAATGAAACATTTTGCGACTCCATGATTGATGATTCTGAATTGTATATAGATGATTATATTTTATTACGTAGAGACCGTACGAGACATGGTGGTGGTGTGGCTGTATATATATCCAAGAAGTTCAATTATAAAAGAAGGGATGATTTGATTTCTTCTACTTTAGAATGCCTTTGGTTTGAATTGCATTATCCAAATAAGTCTCCCATCCTGGTTGGAGAGTTTTACAGACCTCCAAATTCTCACGTTGATTTCTTTGAAGAATTAGACGGAAGTTTGGACTCTGCTCTCTCGGAAGATATGAGCTGTATTATTTTAGGTGATTTCAATTGTGATTGTATGCCACACCAACTTGATCTGAATGCTGAAAAGTTAATGTTTTATACAAATATGTACGGGTTAAGTCAGCTAATTGATACTGCCACAAGAGTTACAAATACCTCTTCTACTTTAATTGATTTGATATTTGTATCAGACAAGGAACTTTACAATGAATGGGGAATATTTGAAACTAGCATAAGTGATCATTATTTGGTGTATACGGTTCGCGATTTTAGTGCAAAGATCCATAACAAATCCGAATACGCAGAATTTCGCTCGTTTAAAAATCTTGACGAGGAGAAATTTTACAGTGAATTGAGAAGTACTCCTTGGCAGGTCATAAAAGATATAGATAATGTTGATGTTGCGTGGGATATGTGGTTGACTCTATTCAATAATATAATCAACAAGCACATACCAGTATGTAAAAAGCGGATAAGAAAAAAGGCATGTCCATGGATATCTGACGAGATTGTTAAGCTTATGACGGAACGTGATAAAGTTCTCAAAGCTGCTAAAGCTAACAAAAGTGATGATCTTT